GCACATGAAACTTTATCTACTTCCTGATTTGCTTTTCACACTCTATGTTTTTTCTCTACTTCTAGATCTTTGGCCTAGAAGATCAGTCCTTCCCGCTAGACATGGCTGAAGAATCTGTTGATGACATGTACTGTAACTGTGATACCGAGATGGAAAAAAAGGTCAAGGAAGAATATTTTAAAAATGAAGCCAACAAAAAACTGTTTGGAGGAGTGTGGCGTAAAGCTAAAGTTTGTGCCCAAAACAACATGAGGAAAAGAGAAAAAGAAGATAAAAAACTAACAGAATATAATATGCAGGCAATTTGTGTTTACACTGATGGTGGACAGACAAACTTCTACCAGATATTCAACCAAGCAGTTAGGATCATGAGAAGTAACTATAGTTCATCCTTTGAATTTCATTCCCTACATTTCTGGCTGACCAGGGCTATACAGATACTAAATAAACCACAATGTAAAACCACATACCGCAGAACCGAAGCTGAGTTCACTGGTGACGTCAACCAAGAGATGCGGTTTGGTGCTTTTACTTCTTCCTCTGAATTAACTAACCAGACACATTTTGGTAAAAAGACATGCTTTAAAATTCACACTTGTTATGGTGCTAATTTAAAAGCTTACCCAGTCATGGGAAATCGTGAGAAGGAATGGCTCATTCCTCCATATGAGAAGTTCAAAATAACCAGCAAAGCTAAAGCACTTGAACTCAGTGACTGTGACAGTGTTTTTACTTTGAATAGTACTGGTATCCTAAGCAACCTCAACTGCAGTCTAAGACGTTCATAATTTTTTTTCTTCGGCTATGCCCAGTGGCACCTCCAGAAATGTGTCATGGGGGGGGGGGGCAAGATGGGGCCATAAACACCTTGGAGTGGCCATGGAAACTAAAAGCCATGATTTCAGGTTTTGAATGTAGAAATCGTAAAGGCTTCAGTAAACACCTACTCATATGATTCCTAATGTTCCGTCTCTGGCTGTGATGATCATTTAAAATAAACTGATGTAAATTTAAGCCAGTGGCTACTTCAATAGAGGCAGTAAATTTGACTTCAGCCATCTCAAAATGAACTATTAGCTGGAAATACTTTCTAATTGAAACATCTTTTTTTAAACCTGGTAGAGAGATTAACAAGCCAAACTTAATCCACAAAAAGAAATTTGGCAAACATTTTGGAGGTGTTTGGAGAAACGTATGTAAAAACTTGTATTTAGGTTAAGATGAAATTGTCACTTCTGCTTCAGACAAGACATTGACTGCTTAAAGCTTCTCTTTTAAACCATTTTAACTACTAAAATGTTTGAAGACTTTAAGGTTATTGCTTCTGCAACAAGAGGGATTTTTACCTGCTGTTTTGCTTATGTGTTAGCATGGATTCTGTACTTTGTTTTGAAAAAAGTCAATAAAAGATGGCACTGGAACAATAACAGAATGATGAGAGAGTCTGTGTGTCTAATATATTCATTTTGTGTTATTAACTAATAATGTTATTTTCTAAGGCTGTTACTACCAATACTGCTGCCATACTGCTAGTAGCCCATGACACACTCATTGTAGTATGAAAGGCATGGAGAAGGAACATATCTTGGTGCACAAGGGTGGGGGGTGGGGGGGGGGCGTGGTTGGGAGGAATGGCCCAACTAATCTGAACTCAAGTGGTGTTCTGTTATTTGACTTCTGTGCTCGTAATGGATTGTCCACAACAAACACCATGTTACAGCATAAGAGTGTCCATATAGGCTCTTGGCATTAGGACACTCTAGGCCTACTTAGTTCTAAGTACTGGTCTAATTTAAGAGGTTATAGACAGGACCATCCAGCCATGAAGCAGTTAAAGCTTATGAGAAAACACATCTAAGATATTTAATGTTAATCAGTTTATGTAGATCAGACCAGCTTTTCCTTTAGTAGTAATGCAGCTTTGGATCATAATAGATGTCATGTTGAAAAGGAAAAAAGAGGAAAAGGAAGTCCTTTTAAATGTGTATAAAGAATGATATTTGTAATTATTACAGATAAGCCTCAGAGAATACATTAAATAGAGTTAAAGTTGATGTTTTTGTTCCGGAATAAATATGATGGAACCGATTTTCTTTTTACTTAGTTTAGAATAGCAGATTATTATGGGGGATGAAATTGGACACAATGCAGCAAAGGAGGCAAATAAAAACTTATTAAAAATCTGGTTGTTATTTTTCTTTTTTTTGGGGGGGGGGATAAAAATGCTAATAAAACAGAAAAAGAAGGAAAAAAGTTGCAAAAACCACGTTAGAAAGGGAAAAAAAGGAAACTGGAGGAAAACAGGAAAAATAGAACGTGTAAAATGCTTAAAAATTATAAGGGGGAAAGATAACAGTTCAAATTGTAAGATTTAAGTATATTTAGATTTAGTTTAAGTGTTTATGATGAACTGGAAAATTTATTCATTTATTGTTTTTACAAATGCAAATACTGTGCATCTGCAGAAAATCAATATAGAACTCAAGCTATATATGGTTAGTGGTCATTGGTGTCATATTCCTGAGGCTACAGCTCATGCCCCTACAACATAGATAGTACAAACAACCGGCAGCTTGACTGTGGCTCTGTTCAAACTCATAGGCTGCGTCCTCAGAAGGCCCGATTGGAAGGACGATTGCATCATAGCACAGCGCAGAGGTCTGTTCGGATTCCTCGTCCTGGGTCAGGGTTCAACACTATAGTTCCAAAGATTCCAGGTTAACTAAACATGATTAGAACCAGAACCAGGACCAGGACCAGGACCAGAACCAGGACCAGGACCAGAACCCGGAACAAAACCAGGAACAGGACCAGAACCAGAACCAGNTGGTCTACCTGTGGCTAGCGGTCTACCTGTGGCTAGCGGTCTACCTGTGGCCAGTGGTCTACCTGTGGCTAGTGGTCTACCTGTGGCCAGTGGTCTACCTGTGGCTAGCGGTCTACCTGTGGCCAGTGGTCTACCTGTGGCTAGTGGTCTACCTGTGGCTAGTGGTCTACCTGTGGCTAGTGGTCTACCTGTGGCCAGTGGTCTACCTATGGCTAGTGGTCTACCTGTGGCCAGTGGTCTACCTGTGGCTAGCGGTCTACCTGTGGCTAGTGGTCTACCTGTGGCTAGCGGTCTACCTGTGGCTAGCGGTCTACCTGTGGCCAGTGGTCTACCTGTGGCTGCTGTTCCGTTCAGTAACTTCTGTTTTCTGTGTTTCTTTCCTTTTTAGAAGAACATTTCTCGCCTCAGTCTGGAACAGAGTCTGGAGCTGCAGTCCAAGATTGAAGCTTCTGTCCTTGTTGTTCTGTGAGCTGTTCTTCTGTTTGTCCAATTCCCCCTGAATGCATCACACTGAATGATTTGCTTTATTTCTTCCAACAGAGCAGAAGGTGGATTTGAGAAAATATTTACAGACGGTGACAAGAAGAAATTTACATCGACTCTTCTTCAGGCCTACAGGGATAGAAATGTGAGTCCATTCCTCCTTCCCAGTCAGACCAGAGCTTTGCTTCCCAGTCTTTACTGGTGTGCTCTGCATGTTTGTTTGTTTCAACAGTAATTTAAGAAATCTGATAACTTCATTTTTATTTTTTGACCAATGATTTTGCGGATCAATAAACACCAAAGCAAACATCTAATTAGAGGCACTGATGACGATGAAGGCAGTTAGTTTAACTACAAACCAGCTGCTGAAATGGAACGATGTCTCTGCTGAGTCCGCAGACAAACCTTTCTTACCTTTAACATCTAAATCAGAACAAATTCCTTTCTTTGACAGAAAGTTTGATAAAAGCTGAGATATGGGTTCAGCTTTTAACACTCCAGTCTGTTTTCTCTGTTCTCTCCAAACAGAGAAAATGTCTTTTAGCACCGATCAGATGCTAACTGTGGTTAGCGTTGAGCTTAATTGGGTGATTCCTCGTTAGTGAAGCTCGATGGAAATCAGCCGAAGTTCAAACGACGCTTCAGAGACGTTTTGGCAGCAGGTTGCTAAAATGTTTATTCCAACAGACATGGGAGGAAAATGTGCTTAAAATGATGTTTCTGCAGCTTTACACATAAAATGAGCTTTATGGACCGAGTTCAGGATCAGTTTGACAACTTTTAACGCCACAGGTTATGTTAGCGAGATCCTGGGAAATGGAAAACTCCACCACTTCCTGAACAGAGCAGCTCTGTCTCCATCACTGGATGAACCCAGGTGTGTGTTGCCATGGTTACTGAGCTGCGCACACCTGGATTCATCAGTTCATTCATTAGAAGAAGACTGGGAACCAAAGAGCTGTTCTGCTCAGGAAGTGGAGGATTGTGCATAGAGCTCATTGTTGCCACCAAACTGGGAAGATTTTATTTTTCCTCCGTTAATTAAAAAGCTTTGCTAAAAAGTCATAAGTCTAATTTTTTCTGTCACTTGAACACGTGGCTCTGCAGCCTGTGGGAAAAATGGAGATCAGACTCGTTAAGAGCAGCTGAGAAATGTGTCGTTATTTTAGAAAACAACATGGAAAAACGGTCTGCCACGCAGTGCATTGTGGGTAACCGTATAGCTGGTAGCCAAGGCTAGGGAGGTCAGGAGGCCGCCATGTTGGCTGCCTCGGTGCTGCTGCTTCCTAACTGCCAGCACTATTCAGAGGTTCCTCTCCTTGCTGACTTCAGGTGTTTGGATCAAAGCCGTTCCTCCAACGTTTGTTCTTCTGTTTCAGAACACGGTGGTGAAGGTTCCAGGCGATCATCACGTCCACCTAAACAATCCTGAAGTGGTGGCGCCGCTGGTGTCCGAGTTCCTGCAGAACAAAGCGCTCTCGCCGTCAGCAGGATCCGCAGACGTCACTTCCCCCAAGTTATAGTGAAGATGCCAGAAAACCAAGCGTGTCTTCTTGCTAACTAATGTGCATTAATGCAGCTTGGTGCCTAAAATCATCCAGTTGATTTGCATAAAACATGATTTGATGTTCCTGAACTAAAAGTGCCGAAAGCTTCTGCTTTATGAACAAACTCAAAGATCAGATCAGCGTCTGAGAAAAACATCATTAACTCTGAAATCTAATCAAGTTAAGCTGCTATTTTCCCTTTTATGGGATTTTTAATGTTAAAGAATCTTTTCTAGTTTTGGAGTCATAAGAAATAAATAATAAATGAAAGTGTGTGTGTGTGTGTGGGGGGGGGGTGGATCATGTCGTTTAATAAAGTGGTTAACGGTGAGATAGAACTAAGACACATAGAGTGGCTGTATTACTTCATTTAGTTGACAGTGATGAACATCATATCAGGGCTTATAAAGTTGGTAAAGGATCTATAAAACTAGATTCAATACGAAGCCTTTTATCTCCTTTATTCTGTCATTCGTTATGCGACTGAACCTGTTGTCAGTTTGAACATTTCTACTGAATGAGAGCGATCTATGTAGATCTGGTTGATTAAATGATGACTCCTCTAATCTCTATAAATTAGGCCGACGCTCCGTCCAACCTGCTTCTCTGTTTAAAACGCTACTAAAGGTGAGTCTGAATCCGTCTCCATGACGACCAACAATTAGTTTAACTTTCTTTTGCTTAAAATCCAACATTATTATTTATAAATTTATACACAAGTCTTTTCTGCAGAAAGACATTTTTTTCTTTTATGTTTGTGTTAAAGAATAATGAACCTGATCATCAGTGGGAGGATTTTCTGTATCCGTAGGTTTCTCTCCAGGTACTCTGGCTTCAGTCAGAACGGGGGCCTCAGCCAGGGGTGAAAGCAGCCTTGGATGTCAGGGAGCTGTGATCCACTGGGTTGGTTTTTAAATCTTTATTTTAAAATTGTATTTGGAAAAAAGCAAATAAAATTACAGTATTATTAGTAATGGATTCCTGAATAATAAAGGTGGGTGGGGCTTTCTGGGGAACCCGGGCCCCCTGAGGGCCCCACAGGTGCTTTTAAACATGACCTTAAAATCCACTTTTTAGTAGAGCTTTTAATTGAACTATTTCCCCAATTTCTTTATTTTATTTTATATTTTTTTTACTTATTGTCTTTGATTTTATTTTTTGTCCCTAAGTTTTTTCATTTAGGACTTGCCTGTTTTAGTAAATAGCACTTTGGGATTTGTATAAATATAAAGTGCATTACCAGTCCAAAGTATTATTATTAATAACAGTGATTAATTTAACTATTAGAAAAGACTTTCTAATGTCTCATCCCTTCCGCAATAGATGATCTTAGAACATGTGTTGATCTATTGTAGCAAATATATAAAAGAGAGGAAAGAACTGGAAAGGGTAATGGGGAGTTCAGTAAAGATGGCTG